GTAAACACATCTTTTAACGTTTCATTATCAATAAAATATAAACTTGTCAGAGAGATTAAAACTGGAAAACCTAAAAATGCTGTCAGCTGGTATTATTAATATTTGTAAAGTGTCGAAAAAAATTCCAATGTTGCGTTGAGCCTTTGCGAAAATTAGGAGGAAACTCTTCCAGGATTAGATTTTTCAGGTTATCCGACATGACCGAGGTTACCGCCCGTGTTCATATGGTTCATTAAATTATACGTTTTTGTCACAGAAACAAAATTAAGGTCGCTCAAACAGTAAGTCAAGAACGATATATATTATCCTTCTTGAGCAGGACTATAAACAGGAATATATAATAATATATATATAAAAGAATATATATATATATCTGTAAGAATCTATAAAGAAACGCAACATGTCAACTACGCAGAAACGATATATAAACCTATATATACCAAACAAGTTGATGTTCACAAACGGCATTGGTTATGTTGCATGGTTAAAAATTTGAAACCGAAGGTTTTATTCGTTTTATTTTTTTTCAGTTTTTCAAAAAATTTTCACAATTCGAAAATTAAATAGGTATGAAGAGTTTTTATCATAAATGTGAATCTCTTTTTAGGTTTTTAATCTTCTTTTTACAAAATGATCGGATTTAGGCAAATGATGTCATGAACCAAATCACTCGTCATCAAAAATACTGGATGATTTCAAAAATCTTTATATATCATTATGAAAAGGAGAATTTCCAATGGAAAAAAAATGATAAGAACTTTTACATTAGTATTAAAAGATAAGTTGACAAATTTTTAGAGATGATTATTTCTTCTCTTAAATTTGCAAATATATATGTTTTCGTTAATATGAATGGAATTTGATTCAATTTTTTTTTTCCAATACTCAGCTTCCATATTAATCTATGGATTCTGCTCAAATGAAACAAAAATTGAGTGTTTAATAATACCAGACTATGTTCATTCAGAGTGATTTACTGTTTTATATTTTTCTACCCCGTTTTAATTACTTTACTGGGTTAAATAATAAGTCACACACACTTGGCTTGTTTATATTTATTTATAACAAATTAAAGTATTGAAAAAAGTTTGGAGAGTTTGTCGCATAAAAGCTCAACCAGTTCATTGTATTGTGTTCTTCCGATTTTTATTCTACATTTTATTGTGACAAAAGGTAAACAGATATTTCATGATTAAATTTTGGTTTCGTCAAAATACCCTCTATTAGTCATCATTGCTGTAGCACAAATCTTTTATTTACTGGGGCGAATTTTCAGCGAGGAATAAAACATTGAGTCGTTACTTCTTGAGTTCTGTCTCAAATCACACTAACTTTTCAACCGTGAACGTCCTCGAAGAACTCAAGAAGTAACAACTTCCCAGCTGGGCTTGAATTTACTCGCTGGTTATTTTTCTGTATTTTCGTTCGTAGAAGACTGTTCCAGCTGACGAATGACACCAGCAGAGTCTTGCCGTCTCAGTGGCTTACCGCAAAACGGGAGTTTCTAAAAATATAAGTTTTGTAATTGATCCCATTCTTTTTTCAATATTTGATGTACATCCCATATTAATTATGGGAGTAGCTTCAAAATTTTGAACTGTAGTATATATATATATATATATATTTATTTAATTTTAAGAAAAGATAAGCAGCTCTAAAAAATAGTGTGCGAAATATGCTGGATGCTATAAGAAAGAGACTTAATATATCAGTGTATAAATCCAGGTAGGAAATGACCGAAAATCCATTTATATATATATATATATATATATATATATATATATATATATATATATATATATATATATATATAAGTAGTAATGCAATCGTTGGTATATAATCCAAGTAATATAAAAATTTATAGCTGATCCACAAAAGGTGCTCATTGTCAATGGAATCCCAAATCACCACATATATATATATATATATATATATATATATATATATATATATCATATTTATATACATACATACATAATACATACAAACTCACTATATTAATTTCTTTCAAGCATATTTTGTATTTCTATCATGATTGGTGTGGTTTAGTTGCTTAACTGAATATGAAAATATTATGTAAATTCTTTAAATGTGATGTGCAGTAAATTAGAAACTGTATCTTTTTATGAAACACCATCACTGTTATAGCAAGTACAGTACGTTTCTGAAAATGTCACCTTCTCTGGTGAAAATTGAGGTATATTAAGTTTAGCTATGATAATGAAAACATATTTTTATTATTAATATTATACTATAAAATTTCCTTCGCTATCCGACATTTCATAAAGGAAAACGATATATATATATATATATATATATATATATATATATATATATATATATATATATATATATATATATATACTATCTGTCACCGTTTGTTTAATTTTAAATGTTAAATTGGTGCACCTGAGCCAATATACACAATCGTGAAACATCCAATCACATTCAAGCTTTTTTGAATTGCAAAACTAAAGCCTGAATTTTTTTTTCGAGGCCAATCGGCGTAATTTGTTTAATATATGTTCATGATGTTTTATTTTTGCTTGTTTCTTTCTTAATGTCAATTGTTTATATTTGCAATGTTGCCCATTATTATATTGCTTTTCAAGAAGCACATTTTATGGATAAATTTTTAAAATAAGAAAATAAAATAAATATTTTTATTTTAACATAGTGTGCCTCTTTTATTTATTTTTCCGAGGAATAAAGGGAATTCTTTTTACAGGTTGAATAACTTCCTTGGCATTTTACGAATTCTGTAGTGTTTTGCAAACACTACTTAATTCAAGATTCTTTCGTTAATTTGTATGTTTTTCAGATTCCAACAGCTCCCATTTTGACGGAAAAAGCTATTTCAATCGGAAATAATCCATTTTTCATGGACTGCTCTTCACATTAAATAAGGAAATTGAACGTTTCCTTGTCTGTGAGAATTCATTCATTTAGTCTCATGACAATATTGGTTAAAAATCAACATACTAATCACACTCTACTTGATTATATTGCAACCAGTGCTAATTAGAAATAATTTAGTAATAATGAAATAAGAACAATATACAAAATGTATAAAAGGTAACCTCTCACTTTCTCTCTCTATCTGACTGTCTCTCTCTCTCTCTCTCTCTCTCTCTCCTTCTATAACCAAAGTTAGTTGTCAAGTTTTTTGAATTCTCATATACTGTATTTTGATTGGTAATTCCGGCTTATATAACAGCGTTTTCCCTAGCGAGAGGTGTTTGATTGATTTGAAACATTAATTGAGCCTTTATTCTACACTCAACACCATCACTTGATAAGGCACCAGAACTATTGAAACAAAATGGCTATTTTTGTAATGATTTTATAGCATATTTATGTTGTAAATGTTCGAATAATAATCATATATATATATATATATATATATATATATATATATATATATATATATATATAGAAATTAAGGAGGATTTGAGATAATTAAATACTTCATCGAGTCTAGAAGAAACCTCAACAGAATGCAGAAAGTACTGGACGGCCGTTTCGTCCTATATTTGGGACTCATCAGCAGTGCGTATCTACTACCGATAATTAAAACCTGGACAGTTACATACAGGCAAACGTCTTACCAACTGTACTAACGAGCCTCGGTGACGATGAGGTAGCGAACTAGACACGATATTGCGCCGCTCGTTCACATATTCCGTGGTGGAACTCATCCAAGTTCCTTTACCCATAGGACTGTGCCTCCGAGAGCCACGTTACCATCACAAATATATATATATATATATATATATATATATATATATATATATATATATATATATATATATGCAATGCTCTTCAGCTAGAATCGAGCTCTCCTTGCCACTGACGTCTTTCCAGTTAAATGTCAAGCAGTACTGCATGCTATTTCCAAATTTCTTGCAGAGTGAATTGCTTCAATGTGTTCTTTTTCTCCGATTATACAGTTCTGGCGACAAAATCAAAAACAAACAACGCGCATGTGCGAGATCAAGAATATAAGAAGGTGACAATTTACCATCGCAAACTGTACGCTCATCTTGAAATTCCATATTGAAAATTGCTCCACTGAAGTTTCTTTCCTATTTTTTAGAGGTAATAAATTCTTGATACGAATTCTTCTAATTAACCCATCGCTACGGATGGAAAAGATGTGGATTCACAACCTTCCCAAGGTTATTTTAGAGGAAGTGAATATAACGAATCCTAATGTAAAAAAGTTTTTCATTGTTCACTGTCTTTATTGATTGCACACAATCATAAGCTTTCATCGTTTTGAAAAGTTTCACTTACCAACATATAAACGTTTTTATATATATATATATATATATATATATATATATATATATATATATACATATATATATATATATATATATATATATGTATATATATATATATATATATATATATATATATGTATATATATATGTATATATATATGTATATATATATATATATATATATATATATATATATATGTATATATATATGTATGTATATATATATATATATATATATATATATATATATATATATATATATATATATATATATATATATATATATATATATATATATATATATATATATATATATATATATATATATATATATATATATATATATACACATATATATATATATATGTATGTATATATACACATATATATATATATATATATATGTATATATATGTATATATATATATATATACACATGTATATATATATATATATATATATGTATATATATATATATATATATGTATATATGTATATATATATATATACATATATATATATATATATATATATATATATATATATATATATATACACATATATATATATATGTATATATATATATATATATATATATATATATATATATATATATATATATATATATATATATATATATATATATATATAAACTTAGGCTTTCCGATTTTCAATTCCGAGTCATTATCCAATGAACCAGCCGCACACCCAAACTTACAGCACCTGGTATTCCAAAGAGGTAACCCATCAAGGTACTGGCTAGGTTCGACGTTGCTTAACTTCGCTGATTGCATGAGAAACGGTGTTTCTGCGTAAATATATATATATAATGTTAGATACAGCAGTATTAATAGATTAATGAAGCATTTTTTATTAATCCTTTATGAGCGGCGATCTTGCTATCAGCAAGTTTTGGTTCCTTGGAGGACTTCTTAACCTTGTTATGCCATCTATTCACACATTCTAGTCACGTAGATGACCCATTATATTCACCTGACTCTTTGCTTTTGGAATGGAATGTGACCTGTCAAATTATCCAAGACCGCCGTCCTCTATGTGTCCAATAAATTTCAGTTGTCTCATTCTGATTCTAAATATATTATTTGTTTGATGAAGGGTTTCATAATCAGCATCCTTCCTTAGAAACAAATTTCTGTTGTTTCCAGTTTTTCTTTATATTTACAGAGGTTGTCTAACAATTACTTTCAAGAGAGATAGTTTTTCATTATTCTTTTCTGTTTCCATCAAAACTTTCCTTCTTTTAAGGACTTTGCTTAGTTGTTGACGTGTTATTCTAATGTGATTCAACTCCGAAATCCGAACTGATTTCTTTCTTATTCCGTCTTCATTTCAGGCTTATGTAATCAGTGTTTCCTTTCCTCAGAATGAAACTATAATATCTTATTTCATTTTAACACCCACGTTAATGGCTCGATATCGATCTCATTGAAGTTAGAAACTGCTTCATATGAACGAGATAAATCGGTGAACTGTAAGAGAAAATGCGGAAATGCCGTGAATTTATAATTAAACTGTACATTTCTGTTTGGAAAGAAGTCAAATATTTGATCGCACTTTAATGATGTTGCAGTTTTCCTATAAAAAAATAATCTGTTATCAATATCTCATTAAAACTGAAACAAAGTTGTTCACTGTCTTTATTGATTGCACACAATCATAAGCTTTCATCGTTTTGAAAAGTTTCACTTACCAACAGATAAACTGGCCTTTTATATATATATATATATATATATATATATATATATATGATAGGATAGGGGAACACGCGAACACTACAGAGCATAGGAAGTATGTGTGTGTGTTTATCTGTGTATGTGTACAAACGAGTCTACTAATTCCTCGTAATAAGTCAGTGTAAATGTATGGAGAGTGAATATACATATATACAGGCATGCTGACAAAAACACAAGAAAATAGAAGTAGATCTAAGAACACACTGGGGTCAGTAAAAGATAAGAATGCCGATAACTCCATCACCATTTCTCAAACCAATCTTAATTGTTTTATAACACTTCACGCAGAATTTTTCACTGCCAGTTCAAGAAAGACATTTGTGTCACTAACACACAAATAAGAGAACGTCTCATATCGAGAATATTTAACATCGAAAAAAAAGAAAAAAATTAACAGAAAAAATAATTATTTTTAATAATATGTGAAAATCTCCACGCTTTGCCTGATGAAGGTCTCGAGACCGAAACACATGTAGCACCATTATCGTAAATAAAGCATAATGTTTTTCTTTTTTTTAAAAAAACAAAAACAACTTTACAACCGAAAACGTTTGCGGGTCCACTCTCTTTCTCTCTCATATATATATATATATATATATATATATATATATATATATATATATATATATAGTTAGTCAACGTGTTTTTTCTCTTCTGAGCGACTTTATCAAAGTAGGTGTAAGCATTTTATTTTTTGTAACAAGTACTTATATAAAATAGCAATTTATTGGTTTTGCAAAATTTTTAAATTTAAGAACACTCATAAATATTCTTCAGGTTAGCCGAAAATCTCGTCAAGCTATGGAGGAAGCCAAGTGAAGCAATTCAATGTCTAATAAACGAACCTAATTGAATGCGGTTCTTGAATATGTTTTATTGCAATTTAGTATTTAAAATGATACCAATCTAAAATAATTTAAATACTAATTTGGTTTAAACAAAAAAAAATTCAAGAACGCTAATATTCAGAGAATCCCATTTTTCTCTGCTATTTAATTCGTAAAAGCTGGATTCACGCGTATCTCAAAGACACTGACGCGAAAATAAGCGCAGCGGATACTATCCAAGATTGAACTCGACGATTTCATTTCATGCGCCGATAGTTGGCATGCTAACCTGATCTTTGGGGATTAATTAATCGAAATGCACTTCTAAATTCTCGGGATACCATGGGTATTTTCATTTACTGATCACCCAGTAAAAATACTCTGTGAGTGGGATATTACATATTTATTTGCCAGGGGAGCTAAAAGGAACCATTTCTGTATCGGAAGTTAATGCATTGAATAAATGTCGTAGCAGGACCTAGGGATAGATAAGAGATTTAACGTGTGATTGAATTATAGCCGTTATGGCTTGAAACATGAATCCATCATAAAATTTCAAGATGCGAAATTAGTAAATACTAAGCACCACAAAAACCTCGGCGTATCTAAGATACAGCAAATTTGATATAGGAGATGAGGAAAGTGTAAATTGAATAGGCTGCTCTAGATGTACCCTGACCAACACTGCTAACTGGTAAAAGAATTGCTTTAGTATGAAAACTGAGAACCAATGTTTCAACGTGTTATGGCCGTAAGCCTAAGAAAATAAAGTAGAACATGAATAGAAATAAAAGACACACCAAAAGGAATTGGATGGAACGGAGCCTCATGAAGAAGAAGAAGATGAAAGAAAGAAAGAAACGCACAATAACATGAATAAGAGATAAAATAAACCTGAAGACTTAAACAAGAAAACTTTTTTCGAAAGGAGTCGAGGAAGGAACCAGCAAGAAAAAAGAGAGAAGAGGAAGAAAAGAAAGTAGGAATCAAACTTATTATAAAACCCAGGTTGTGTTGTGTGTGTCTGTTCGTTTATATATTTGATCGTATTTCCTACATTTTCTAACTGATTTCAACAAAACTTCACAGGACTACGTAAAATTACCTTGCTCTGACAGCGCCAAAAAATTGAGAAAAAAACACAATTGTTTTTGCACGAAATCAATTTGAAAACACGATTCAGAGGAATCGCTGTCGCAAGAATGAAAGGGGGACAACTCATATCGAGTTATACTTATTATAAAACCCAGGTTGTTTGTGTGTGTGTGTGTGTGTGTGTGTGTGTGTGTGTTCGTTTATATATGGGATCGAATTTGCTACATTTTTCAACCGATTTCAACAAAACTTCACTTTTTTTTGGCAGGTAGTGTTTCTTATTCTCTTGCATACTTTATTCTTTATTTTTACATTCAGAATGCTTTAAAAATTCCATTTACAAGACAATTGTTTACAATAAAATTCTATTAAATCGGTAAAACAATGTTTTTGAGTTTGGGTTTGACCAATTCGTAAAAAAAAAAAAAAAAAAACTAATTAAGACATGCGTGTCCGTCAATCTTAAACAATAATCTTTGTCAATTTTATTTTTCAGTCTTTATGATGGTCGATACTTGATCTATCTCTTACTGTTACATCCCCGGGCAACGCCGGGCTCTACTGCTAGTATTTAATAAATTCAAATGAAATGTTAAAATGATTCCATTGAGTAGAAAACGCGCGAAGTCGATGAATCAAATGAAAATAGATGTGATATATATTTTAAATGAAAATAAAAATAAAAATAATGAACGTCCCAGGAAGAAGAAGTGCAACAACAAGAAAAAATAACAAGAATAAAAAGTAGAAGAAAAATAACAACTAGAAAAGAACAAGTAAAAGACGATGAAGAACGAAAAAGATGAACAACAAGACGAAAAAGATGTAAAAGAAGAAAAAACAACAACAATATAATGATGATGAAGAAGAAGAAAACAAAAAGACGGACAGCAAGAACAAGCAGATGAAGAAGAAAGATGATGAAGAGAAAGAAAAAGATGAAGATGATAAAGACGAAGATTATGACGAAGAACAAGATGATGGTGACGGTGATGATATAAAAGTGATGAAGAAAAAAAAGAAAATTTAGAAGAAAAGAAAGAAAAAGAGATGAAGAAGAAAAGGATGAAAAACAAGACGGAGAAGTGATGAAGAAGCAGAAAAGGGAGAACAAGAAGATTGTTATGGTCCGGTTCCTTGTACCACGGTGATGGTCCAAGGTAGAACCAATAAAGAAGAACTCGAACACAGGTATGGAATAACACAGATATATTACAAACAGGAATACATACAGAGAAGTAGAAGTGTTAGTACGAACAATCAGGTTTAGTAGAGAGAACAATATACTCTCGACCAGTATCACTATTCCAATGTTTTGCAGTAATTGTCTGAATGCGACTCTGTTTCGGATTGCCTCTGACTCGACTCTTGACTCGACTTGAACTACTGCCTCGACTTGAACTACCGGCTCCTTGCCTACTCGTGAAGCGCAGTATTTATTATGTATGGAATAGTCCATTATTATTATTATGGGTAAGGTCCCATAACACAGATGAAGAATAAAAACAAGAACTGATTAAGTAGAAGAAAAATAGATGAGGAAGAAGAAAAAGGACAAGACTATGAAAAAGAACAAGAAGACGAAAAAGAAGAAGCGATGAAGAAGAAGAAAGAAGAAGCCCAAGAACAAGTTGAAAAAATGAATGATCAACACAAGAAGGTGAAAAAAAAAATTTGTCGTTAGTGATACCAAAATTGAAGAAGAATATCGTAAATATTTGTATAAAACGTTCGGTTTTTCCAACACACCTCGACTAAAAAACACATTCAAGAAAAAACAATTCGAATGGAATCTTGAATTCTGCTCATGATACCATCATTCTTTAAGGCTTTCCCCGGAATATGGCTTGATTAATATCACTTTTGATAATGACGTAAACCAATATTTATGCTGTCTTTTTCATTTGACATTATTTCCTTTCGTCATCAAGTCGGTTACTGTGTATCTTCCACAAACAATCAACTCCGAAAATAATCTTAGTAATATCAAATTTTTTTCCAGTGGCAAATGTTGGCTTTGACGCTGTCATTACTGATAATCTGGGCTGGCGCAAGGTCACAAGTTCAAGGCTTTTGCAAGATCAAATTCATTTATAACGCTTAACATTGAAACAACCACATTATAATAGATATATACT